GAGGCACTTTTAAAAATGCATACTTTAGCTATCCATACTTCTTTTGAAAATTCAGTTTTCTTCATTCGAAACTTTTTAAATACCGGCAACAACATTCATGATATAAGATCTCAACATTCGTGATTTTTAATGATTTGTGACTGATAGTTTCTTGTTCCGCGTCCTTGCCTTTGGTTTGCTGACGATCTGGCATGTTACTATACTTTAAGGCTTTCCACGTTATTAAAAACAAGGAAAGTGTTGGATTGGAACCCAAAAGGTAAAGATCAAGGAGAAGACCACGTAAAGAGTAACAGAAATTGAAGTACAGAAACGTTGGATGACATGGAATAACAACAAGAGGCTAGCCCAGGATAGGGAAAGATGGTAAGTGTATGTTCGTGGCCTATACCTTATAGGCCTACCTATATCAAAGCTGAGAAAGGCAATGATGATGACGTTACTAAATAGTTAGGATTGTTGTGCTGCCCTCCTGTTCTCTAATCCCCCCATTCCTCTTTACCCACTTGGGTTGTTGGCGGGTGCTCTGGTGTAGATTTCTTCTTCTTTCCTTTGAAATATCTATCGTCCTTTTCTCCCCTTCTGCTTTAAAAAAAATATTTTTCCTCTCTTAAATTGTAACACCTCTAATCGTCTGGCGCTTATGTGGCCTTATGCAGTTGCGAGCGCCGTAAAACCTCTACTAAAACTGAAACTCTTTACCCACTACCCCCTCCCCTTTTTGGCACGAACTTTCTTTTTTCGCCCTATGCCCCCCCCCCCCAAAAAAAAAACCCCACCTCGTCAACCTACCTCCATTTTCACACCTTTTCCCCTGCCCCAACCTCCCTTTCTAACTTAACTTTCATGCGTGCTACCGTTCCCTGCCAGCTCAACTATTTCCAAAGCCTCCAAACGTCTCAACGTTCTTTTCCAACCTCTGTGCCCTCCTCCTCCCTCCCCTACCTCCTTTTTCAACCTTTATTTCCAACCTCCTTGCCCTTTTCTCCACCCACCCCTCCCCACCCATCCCTCCCTCCCCCATGTCCCTCCCCTAAATAAAAACAAAACAAAAAAACAACCTGCTGTAACCTTGTTTACCAACTTCTGTGGATCCCTCCGCCCCCCGCCCCCCACTCACACACACACCCTGTCCCCAGCACCCTCACATGTATCAAGCACTCCCATGCCACGTCACAGCAGCTTTTCTGTCTCTCTTACCATGAAGACAGTGGGGGGTGGAGAGTCTTACAGCCAAGTCTATGGGTATTACTGGAGGAAAGAGGCTTGTAAGGAGGCATTCTCTGTGGTGGTAGGCAGGATATTACACAGTACGCAACTTGGAAACCTCATCAAGTTACCTGCTGCTTGTCACTACAGTAAAAGTGAAGTGCAGCAAATCTCACTTCCTATCCCAGATCCGCCCCACCACCCCCCTCCCAGCCCCCGTAATTCCGAACAGCTTGACCCGGTGCACAACATCCGGGGTTACAGTGAGGTTGCAGCTTTATCCTACAGGAATGGGAAATAGTGAGATGTGACAGTAGGGATGCGCAAACAATTGTTGTTGTTGCTTTTTAAATACTTTTTTCTTTTTAAATTATTAATTTTTCTTTTGACTGTTTACTTTTCTACTTGCTTTGTTTTGAGTTTTATTTGTGTGGGGTTTTTTTATGGG